TTCATAGGGCGGAAGAGACTCGGCCAATCGTTGCTGCGATTAAACTTGGAAAACGTATTTGTTAGAATATTATCACGATCTTTCGATGTATAATAAATTCTCCCTAATTGGCGCTCGGATTGTGCACAGAAATGGACAACTTGGAAAGAGGAGATTATTATCGTTCGAGGCCTGCACCTCGTTTTTATGATTGTTGACGATCTGTAACTGTAAAAACGAGCTTTTTCCCCTGCGAGGCTCGAACGATTGCATCTCCTCTTCTCAAATTGTTCATTTTTTATTACAAGCTGAAGGAAAATTTGGGAGAATTTCCTGTATTGCGGACGCTTGCACGCATCTTTATTGGATAACAGAGGAACTGTCAACGAATTTGTTTAATTACAATTAATTAACAGTTTAACCGTCAACCACTATTTCCGGTTTGTGAGATAGCTACTAATTATTTATTCATTCTTGTGTTCATAGTTATTATTCATAATAGTTATTCATAATTCGAAGAAAAATTGTGAAAAATGGGACGTTTTTAGTACATTTTCTTCTACTCGATCGAACTTCATTATTGACGTGCAAAGTAAGAAAAATTGAGATTTTGATTTCACACACAGGTCAGTGTTTAGGTCAGATCTATTGTACAACACTTAATTATTTCTATTCAAAGAATATTCTTAGATCGCGTCCTGGCAACTCGAACGTGTCCATTAATCATTGAAACATGATACGAAACGGTGTAACGTTGCAAATACTTGCACGATGTACGAGATAAATTATATTCGACGTGGTTGATGATGCCATTTAGTTATTATATCCGCACAAGAATTTCGTTACGTCTGCTGACAGGAGATATCCTGCTGATAATTATGGTGTTTCCAAAATGATGGATATTAATTACGCGTGGAAACCAACTTTCGTTTCATATAATCTATATCGACACGATCCTTCATAAAATTTTATTTAACACTAGATTCACATTTATCCCGATTTCTAACGAGCGCCATTGTAATATTTACCACAAGTAATACATATACTAAACAAATAACTCATAAATGCACCTTGCAATCTGAATAATCGTAAATTAAAAAATCGATGACCCGTCATCTTGACGGGTTCCATAAACCTATTCTTAAACAGTCTAATTATTTCCAACGTTCTATCATTTTCTACCCTGCCATAACTATGGTAACATGATCCAAAAACATACTTCGAGCGCAGAGTTCAAAAATCGTACGCACTGCTAACAAAATCATGGACGAAGAAAACCAAGAGCTCCGGAGAGAATCTGTTTCGTAGCAGCTGCTTGCCAAAATTCGTTCTTGCGTCTCTCGCATTGGCGTCGACAAGTCCACGAAGAGAGTATTTACCGAGTAAGGTAAAAGAGATCGGCCACAGAGTTCCTTGTCCCGCGGGAATTCTCTGGAGGGCAGCCCCGGTTTTATTGAATTTCGCGGCGGCCAGGATAATCCTGACAACGTAAGCGATCCGCGATTATGCAGTCCGCTTTTTACGCCGAGCCCCGGCAAACCATCCGTTAAAGAGAGTCTCCGCGTTTCACCTGGCCGGCCTCGGTGGACCCCAGGTAGCACCCGGCCACCGCCGCCGGAGCGAAGGGTCTAATGAACGGTCCGTACGAGGGTCGAATCGGAAAGCAGAGTTCTGCTCCCCCCGGTTGTCGCCTCCGCGAAGATTGTTCCCGAGTTATATCACGTTGAACTATCTACCGCCTTACGTTCCGTAGGATGTATGTACCCTGAACTTTTCGAAGTTTGCGCTCCGCCGGAGGAAGAGCGTGACGTGGTGAACAAGAAGCGCCGATCAATCAGCATTAAGACCTCGGGACCCGGGTCCGATCCGAGGGCGGGGGTCTTGCAAATGGAAATCTTCCGAGGCCCGGGCTCTGCCATTGCCGCTGATAAATGGCGGGAAAATGTAGAACGCAATCTGCCCGGTCCACTTGGATAATTCTATTAAGATACGGGTCCACGGCGTTGCACATCGTCCATTTCTATGCAACGAATTCGATATTATTGACAGAGCAACGTGCTTAACCCTTTCTTTCTTCTACGTCGAAACATAGTTCGATTCTTCTATCGTCGAAGTAAGATTACTGCGATAGAATAGATCGTAACTTTATTTGTCATATTTCTCCGAATTTACCATGAAATAATAATATATTTCAGCATTTCGCTGGAGAATTATATGTTCCACGTGATATTTAAATGAAAGCTGAACTTTGACCAGCTGTAACTCCGTTAGAAGCTGTCATAAAATGATGAATTTTCTTTTAAATTGTAGCACGAAGTCTTTACTTTACGACAGCGTATTCTAATTTTTAATATCATGCGTCCCCAGGATTGTACTATTCTAAATCTCGGGGCACGTTCGTGATACCGAAAAAGTGCGAAGTTTAACGCCTCTACGGACTTGGCAAAATTTTTCTCGAGTACGTCGTTTACAGCGTCGTAAAGTTTGGAGTTTTCTCTTTAATATGAGGGCTAAATTAGGTTGCTGCGATTTTTTCCCGCAAAGTTACAGCACTTTCAATGATAAATGTGCAGTCGGCATTAGAATAACCAAAGGTACACCACGACGAGGTTGCACCTCGTGCGTATGTGTTTCGTGTGTACTTAATGTGTTTTTAGTTCATATTTAGTATAATTTGAATGTAAAGTGTGTGCTCTAAGAATGTTTCATCCGAATGTAATAAACTCAACATATTAAAAGAAATATCATCATTCTATCAGCATTTGACAGAGTTACAGCCGTTCAAAGATCGACAATTTTTGGGCCAAAAATTGGCTTTAATTTTGCTGTTCAGTGTACATACGCGAATTTGCGACCGAATATCGGGCAAACGAAAATCAGTATCGCCGACAATTCGGAAGGGATGTCTTTGGCCGTCTTCGCGCAGCGTTTCAAATGCCGCCGTTGGGCAAAGGGTGGGTCGCGTGAACAACCAACAAAAATAAATAGAGTGTCAAATGGTTTCGGGTTATCGCGCCGGTCGCGCTGTACACACTGCAAATACGCTCATACGGAGCCATTATTGGCGGGCGCGGTGGTGGGGGACATTTACATGAACAAACATTACCTCCAAGCGGATGAACATCGCCGGTTACTATTCTAGCTGTACATCCAGATATAAACGAGCTTATACGACCTGGAACTAACGCGACCGCAAATTTGTACTAGTTGGAACGGCAGCATAGACGAATTTGTGTTTAGGAAGCAGAGATATAATTAATAATGGCCCGCGATCGTTCGGCGCAGTCCTGGATACGGCCAGCACGTGGCCGTTCCAGTTGAATAATAAATGAGGATCCCCGGCCTCCGCGTGCGCCGCCGTCCAAAATATCAAGATCGAAAATCCGACACGTAGACGCAGCTTTTTCACCTGTACGATCGCCCGCTGTTATCAATTTCTACCAACGGATGGCCCCTGTCCCGGGTCGTGCCACGTTGAAACACAAATACGCTCTGCGGTCTCAATGTTAAGTAGAATAATCCGAGCTCGGTCAGACTTCTCGCTGTCGGCGCCTGCATCCCGCAATATCTTTCGCACACATTGCCGCGCTAACTCGACTATTATTTCCCACGATTCTCGAACGGTCTGCCTGCAGCTGCATCGAAAACGCTATCGCGAACACGCCCGATTTTCCGCAAAGTGGAACAGCGAATGCGTAAAATTTTACGGAAAAAACTGCGGGATCGATCCTCCTTCTCTCCCCCCCCCCCAAAAAAAATTGCAAGAGTACTCAGATTTTAGCAAAGCTGAATACGTTGCAATCCGATCCGAGTTAACATTAAAAGCAACGAATATTGAAAAGAATACAACGAAATAATCTTCGTTCTTGTCTCAAAGAAAAAGCTTGCGAAATGATTGCTTAGGTCGCGATTCTACGCGATCTCTGCGATCGCGAATTGAATTCGCCTTATTAATCCGAAATGGCGGCGCAATTTCGACGGGACAAAAAATGCGAATCGTCCGGTATTTCGCGCACGCGAAGCAGATTGAAACTTGTCGAACTCGATAACGGGTGAAATACGGTGCAAGGTGCACCGTGCACGTCGAACGCATCGATCACTCTATATCATCGTTCTACGAAAATAAATCTGGACATTCGAATAATTAGCGATCCGTGCCGGTGTGCCGAACAGGAGAACAGAGTTTCGCCCGGTACTGTATACGAGAGCCAGCCAGGTGTACAACTCAGCACGAGTACACGTGGTCGAAGCTTCGCCAGGAATTACAAGGACTTTTACGGGCCGCCGCGGCCCGAAATTTCGCGCATCAATTTCGCTGCGTTTCCGCGGCGCGTCTCGGCCAAGAATTGCCCGGAGCATGGTCGGAGGCTCGTAAAAGAGGAATACATACACATCGGGCCGACTTCGCGGCCCGAGGGAATAGTTTCCGGTCGGAGAGCTCGAGCTGGTAAATATGAAGCGCGTAGCACACAGAGAGAGAGAAAGAGAGAGAGAGACAAATTCCGATTATTCGAACGAAAACTCGGCGACCAAGTTCGCGCGGCATTCTGAGGGTGTGCATCGAGGACAACCGATCGCAATGTCCACCGGAAGAAAAACCGAACGGCGGAAGCACGCGAGCCCTGCGAATGACAATCGGTCCGAGGAAATGGAACGCGGGTTTGACAGTGCGAGGCAACGCGAACGGGAAATCCATGGTGCGCGATCCATTCACGTCTAACGTGTCGCTGCGGATAAGCCGCGGCGTCCTTGGTTACATCTCGAGAATCGGGTATCGATTGCTTCACTTCCACGGGGTTGAAAAAAGCCGAGGGCAGGAAGAGAAAGGGGAGACGGCGCGGGCACCGTTCGAAGAGCACGTTGCTGCTCGAGCACTTGACGTCGCACGCGGATCGGCCCTAATTTCGATGCGGACACGGTGCGAGAGATTCGGTGACAAGCTTGGCCAGCGCTCGAGAGCAACATCGTCGTTCGAAAAATTTTGGCGAATTAGGGGAGAATGCGTGTGTGTCGAGACTCACTTAATTCTAGCAGGATGCGGTGGACGACGGGGTCTGGCGTCTTCCGCTGACCTCGGGGACGACCGGGACACCACCAGAACACTAACTAGGCGATCAGCTGATCGACCAATGACCGAGTGCGCCCAATGATCCGTCACTGGCAACGAAAACTCACCACCGAACACGATAACCCTCACCGGACGGGGGCGCGCGGACGACTGACTGCCGCGGCAGTCACGGTGGGGTGTAGCTGTGCGCTGATTCTCTACTACCCCCACCGAGCAAACCACCCTCTTTATCCTTCCGCCCCGCCGACACCATGCTCTCTCCTTTCTTCCTGCCGCTCGTCTTGTCTCCGTTCACCCTCCGAGCGGTCCACCTCCGTTCATCCTCCTCCTCCTCTTCTTCCTCCTCCCCCCTTCTCTTCCCCGCCGACGTCCTTTGTTTGTTGGTCTTCCTCTGTTTTCCTTTACCCTTCCGACTGTTTTGCACCACCGCCCCGCGCTGCTTTTCTATCTGCTCTCGGGAGCCACGCGAGCTCCTCTGCTTTACAAGCTTTTATTTCCTTTTCGATTATTACCTACTTATACGCCGCGCTGTTTACGACTCCTCGATTTGACAACAATTGCTGTTACCAATTCTGCTTCTGGTTTTTCGGTTCTATCCCGAGGCAACAATTAAATTTACCGCGTTACGGTTTCGAATGTGTTCTTAGTCACGTTGAAATTGTTGTTTACGATGTTCAATTTCACCGGCGAAAGGGAAATAAAAGTTAAGGCTAAATGGAGATTTTCGAGGTCGGAAAAGATCTGTTGAGATCTACAGTTGAAATATCTTTCGGTGCAAAGGATTATTATGCGCTTTTCATGGATTTATGCGTTTTACGGATTTGATGCATTTCTGAACGACAGAAGAAGATGAGGAACGAAACTGAAGAATTTATGAATATTTTTGTGGTATGTGTAACTTATTAAAATTGTTCAAGAAGAAATGATATTATCATGTGACTTCTGTGTTTTTTACAATTAACACGGATAATTTTCATTTCGCATAAGATATGTATATATAAGTTATACATACATAAATTATATAACATTATTATATAACATTATACACATTACGTAACTAAATATTTCGAACGAGATTTGCAGGCGTTGTTTTCGGGTTGTTTATCGGGACTGCAAACCACCATTGAGTTTTGGGTGACGAATAACATGATATAACACATGGGTGTTGCAACAACAACAAAGTTGGGGTACGTTGATAACAGACCTGGAGCTGTATACGTAACGAAGTGCATCAAACAGGGCTTGAAAAATAGAATAAACATTACAGGAACACAGCATCTGCTAACGACACAAACGAACATTATTCGTTTTTAGTATGTTCAGAGTAAGTTCATTCACCTACATTTGTTGAAGCATAAAGTCTACGATTAAAGTACAGTACGAAGTAGAGTAGAAAATACTATACAAAATACTGTACAGAATACAGTACAAAATATAGTACAAAAAACTGTACAAAATACTGTACAAAATACAGCAAAACATACAGTAGAAAGTACAGTATAAACTACATTACAAAATATAGTACAAAATACTGTACAAAATACAGCAAAACATACAGTAGAAAGTACAGTATAAACTACATTACAAAATATAGTACAAAATACTGTACAAAATACAGCAAAACATACAGTAGAAAGTACAGTATAAACTACATTACAAAATATAGTACAAAATACTGTACAAAATACAGCAAAACATACAGTAGAAAGTACAGTATAAACTACATTACAAAATATAGTACAAAATACTGTACAAAATACAGCAAAACATACAGTAGAAAGTACAGTATAAACTACATTACAAAATATAGTACAAAATACTGTACAAAATACAGCAAAACATACAGTAGAAAGTACAGTATAAACTACATTACAAAATATAGTACAAAATACTGTACAAAATACAGCAAAACATACAGTAGAAAGTACAGTATAAACTACATTACAAAATATAGTACAAAATACTGTACAAAATACAGCAAAACATACAGTAGAAAGTACAGTATAAACTACATTACAAAATATAGTACAAAATACTGTACAAAATACAGCAAAACATACAGTAGAAAGTACAGTATAAACTACATTACAAAATATAGTACAAAATACTGTACAAAATACAGCAAAACATACAGTAGAAAGTACAGTATAAACTACATTACAAAATATAGTACAAAATACTGTACAAAATACAGCAAAACATACAGTAGAAAGTACAGTATAAACTACATTACAAAATATAGTACAAAATACTGTACAAAATACAGCAAAACATACAGTAGAAAGTACAGTATAAACTACATTACAAAATATAGTACAAAATACTGTACAAAATACAGTACAAAGTACTATACAAAATATTGAACAAAATACTGTACAAAATACAGTACAAAGTATAGTACAAAGTACAGTAAAAAATACACTACAAAGCATAGTGCAAAGTAGAGTACAAAGTACAATACAAAGTATAGTACAAACTACAGTACAAAGTACAGTACAAACTACAGTACAAAATACACTAAAAAGCACACTACAAAGCATACTAAAGAGCAGCTAGAATCACCACGGGGTATATTCCCGAAAAATTCGAGCCATTCGGTATTACATCGAGCAGCCCTAACACATTGTCTCGGTGTAGAGATCAACAACCTCGAAAGCGCTTTGCACGAAAACAAATGCAGGGGCATCAGCATTAGCATCCCTCGCTCTTCGCGATAGAACTCGCCGTCAGCCGTCGGGGAACGATGAAAGATGACCGTAGAATAAAATCCACTTTCCCTCCGTGAAATATTTGTTAGCGCTAAGTGCAGCATATCTCGTGAGACGTGCGGCAGATGTAGATCCACGGCTCCTCTTTCTCAGTCATAAATTTCTCTGCAGTTATTAATAATTGTCTGGAGTGTCCTCCGCTGACCACCGAGCCACAACTTCTACAAAGCCTCTCCAGACTCTGCCCCGTTCGTTTTCCGCGTTTCTATCCGTGTCTTAACCCTTTCCCACCCCTGCTTGGCATCCCTTTCCCTCGTTCTCCGTGGAAGCTCCTTCAGAACCATGAGACCTCCTCTCTCTCCCCGAGGTCTGGCCTCTTTGTTTCGCCGTTTCACCGTTTCTATCGCACTAACTCGTCCCCGATACAACGTCCTTCTCCGGCAAACACGGGATCGCTGTCTCTGTCCGCCTCTTTTCCCAGAGAACTGTGGCGCGAGAGCAAAAAGAGATATAGAAAGAAGGAGGAAAGCAAAAGGAAAGAGGAAACGGGAGAGATAGAGAGAGTGATAGAAGTAAGCGAGAGAGTAGGCGGAGCACAAATAAGCCGGCCAAGGGAGGAGGATAGAGAGCACGCTCGGGGGTGGAGGAACACCAGCGATTTATTGGATCCCCGAGACCAGCGATCACCTATATGCCAGAGAGAAAAGTTCGGCGGAATCCGAGACGAGATACTTTAGTCGTCGGACGTCTCCGAAAAAAAGGGAACACTGGTTAGGGGGGACGGAAGCGGGCCCTAAAAAGTACGCAACGGTAGATCAACCCCGATCGGGCTTTAAAGGGTGGCTTTTTTCGGGCTCGATCGAGGAGCTGCCCTGGGAAAGCACATGCTGCCGGGACCGTGACGGCCGGATTGCGCGAACAAATGGTCGCCGGTGCTCGTTACTTCCTGGCCCTGAACACTTGCACTAGCGCATACGAAAGTGCCGGTCTGTATTTCGGAAGCGACTTTCTATCTTATGAATCCTCTCCGTGCTTTTGTATTCCGCGCGGAGGTATTCTTGGGAGCATGATCGACGAGTTCGACGAACGAAAATTCGGGATTTTGTATTCGAGTGTTGGGTTCGAGGGATGAAGGGACAGAAAGCGTTTAGAGCCGAGGCTCGACGATACAGCAGGCCTTGCGATTTATAAACGGTGTCGTGATTTCTCTTTTATCCTCGAATCGGGAACACGACGCTAAAATATTGATATAATTCTTCTTTAGCTGAACGGATGCGAATCTTCAGGAATGGAGAAACCTTAAAGTTTCTTTTCTTGGTTGAAACAAGACGTTCTTAATTCTTTAAGTGTTTTAAACCGTGCGTCGCACTGGTGACAGCCATATCGTTTGATTTACGATCTTTATTATATATTTTATGCTTATATATTTTAAGATTATATATAATATTTTAT